CCCCCCCCCCCCCCCCCCCCCCCCCCCCCCCCGTATTATTTCGCGCGCGTCGTTCCCCCTTCGCCCCGAGTGGTCCCTTCCCTCTCCGTACCGTGGCTTTCACGGATCCCGGAACCGCAAACCCGAACAGCACAAATCGCTTTACCGCACTCGCGAACCATGTCGTTAGGGATGGCGGGTTTGGGAATGCCACAAGCGTTTCGGGCCACGCCGGATGTTTTTAAGTTCCTCTCCTCTCTGTCTTGCGTGTTTCGTCGTGGGCGTTGGGTAGTGCGGAGTTTCTCGCATTTATTTTGTGCCTTCGAAAGGGTTTGCGTGTTTTGTTGTTGTTGTCGTCGTAGTCGTCTTGGTGGGTTGCATGTAGTAGTAGTAGTAGTAGTAGTAGTAGTAGTAGTAGTAGTAGTAGTAGTAGTAGTAGTAGTAGTCGTCTGTTGATAATAGTGTGTTGACATCTCCCACTGCTGTCAATGTCACGCCCCCATCATGAGGGTATTTCTCGTGCCCTGTTTTTTACTCGCATGTCCTTTTCGTTTGTGTGGCGGGCCGTCCATCCCTCCCAACGCAACGAACAGGTCGAGGTGACCATCGATGTGGCCACGCCCTCCCCCGTTGCGATGGACACACCCTCCCCCACTGCAGTGAGCACCGTCGCCCCCACCTCCGGTTCAAGGGCCATCGGCATCACTCCGGTTCCTTCTGCCGCGAGTATTGCGCCCACGGGTGTCCCGGCCCCAGTTGCGGCCCCGACCCCCGGTCCCACTCCCATCGGTGAGGTTCCAAGATTTTTGTGCTGTTCTTTGTCGTACAGGGAGAGATCGGCCTGTTGGTGCGTAGGTGTGACTGGCTGCCCAACGCAACGAACAGGTCGAGGTGACCATCGATGTGGCCACGCCCTCCCCCGTTGCGATGGACACACCCTCCCCCACTGCAGTGAGCACCGTCGCCCCCACCTCCGGTTCAAGGGCCATCGGCATCACTCCGGTTCCTTCTGCCGCGAGTATTGCGCCCACGGGTGTCCCGGCCCCAGTTGCGGCCCCGACCCCCGGTCCCACTCCCATCGGTGAGGTTCCAAGATTTTTGTGCTGTTCTTTGTCGTACAGGGAGAGATCGGCCTGTTGGTGCGTAGGTGTGACTGGCTGCCCAACGCAACGAACAGGTCGAGGTGACCATCGATGTGGCCACGCCCTCCCCCGTTGCGATGGACACACCCTCCCCCACTGCAGTGAGCACCGTCGCCCCCACCTCCGGTTCAAGGGCCATCGGCATCACTCCGGTTCCTTCTGCCGCGAGTATTGCGCCCACGGGTGTCCCGGCCCCAGTTGCGGCCCCGACCCCCGGTCCCACTCCCATCGGTGAGGTTCCAAGATTTTTGTGCTGTTCTTTGTCGTACAGGGAGAGATCGGCCTGTTGCTGCGTAGGTGTGACTGGCTGCTGGTGGAGGGAGGGGGCGTACGGGACTCACGTTTTGCATGCCTTGGCTGGTGGACGANGGGGGGGGGGGGGGGGGGGGGGGGGGGGGGGGGGGGGACGTGTGTTATGCTGAAACGATGTGGATGCCGGCGGCGGTAGGGTCGAGTCTCACGGTTGGTGAGGGGGCCAAGACAAGGAATTTTCTTCCCCGCTAGTTTGAAATTGCCGAGAGAATGGTTGATGCCTTCGCCGATAGAGGAGGGGTAGGCCTGAAACACGCGGCGGGGGATGTGTTGACGCCCCAAGAAGGCTATCATAGCGCGCAATCCGTTGCGTTGGAGGGTTGGGCCTGTGTGTCTTTGTTTTCTGCGTATCAATACCGTACCGCATGGTGTTATTCTCTGCTCAATGCCCGCGTTCATCGTTCGCGGTCCTTCTTGCCTGTTTTTTGCACCAGTACCTTGTAGGCCACCGTTATCTCCCAAACCCATCACTCTTTCTCTCTCTCTTGTATTGTGTGCATGCGTCTGTCTTCATATCTGTCTCTGTGTCTTCTTGTGTGTGTATCTGTGTGACTACCCNCCAACCTCTGATTCGCCTGTGGGTTTTCGTCTTCCTCTTTCATCGGGGGTGATGCGTTACTGTCCGCGTCACCCCCTGTCAACGTGTTCCTTTGTCTCATCCCATCCTTCGGCGGGACTAACCTAACCCTCCGTCGTGCATCGTGGCATCACCAATGTTAACCGCTGCCAAATTTGCTGCGTCGTTGCACCGGCAACTTTTACACCTAACCTCCTCCGCTCTGCCCCGCCTTCGGGGTCCAAATAGGGGGGCCGGCATGCGGAAACGTAACGGTGAGCTCCTGAAACTCAAGCATTTCACCGCGCATAATATTTGTTGGAATGGATACATGTAGCGACAGTGTCATGTACTGGGTTTCGTTTCTTTTTTTTCAAGCTGGAGAAACTCGGACCCTCACCTGTTGCCGTCGATTTCTGGCTGGTCGAAAACCCGTGTCCGATGGAGGTGACGTCACGTCATCTAGGGTTGTTATCGACTTAGGGTGTGCTCTGAAGGCACCACCCGGGAGTCGCGGTGTCAACCAGCTGCCGTTGTCCATGCGCGCTTGTTGGTTCGTTCGATGCAGGTGAGCAATGCTGGCGACCTGAACGGGGATTACGCCTCGTCGCTTAACGGTGACGGCAGCGTGATGTATGTCTCAACGGGAGTCATGTGAGCTAAAGCTGCAGGTTGAGGGTAGTACATAGCGAAAAGTCGCGTCTTTGACGGCGGTCTTATGCGCCTTTGGCGCGAAACAATTGTTCCTGTAGCACAGCATGGAGGTGTAGGAGCGAGAGCTATCCCTAAAGGCGCGTAAGAAGTACTGCTGAATATTGCATGGAGCTTGAAGGATGAGAGCATGAACCAGTACTACCGTGGCAGGAGCTATCGCTGTCGTCGCCATGGCCTTTGCCCGTGTATCACGTGCGCTTGCGTCTTGCGGGCCGGCCTTGCCTGTAGTGATTTCCAGGTTTCATGCCCTCGGAACCCGGCGTCTTGATTCGCGGGTACCTTGTAGCATTGCTTTCTCTTCTTTGTCGTCCGTGCTGAGCATGGAGACGCACGTACGCACGCTGTACAGCGGTACATCATCCGGCGGGGGAATCAAGGCTTTCTTGTTGAGCGCCCTGCTTGTTGGGCCGTTGTTGATGCCCTGTGTGCTTCATACACCTGTCCGTGCGATCTGCAATCACCGTCAGTCGTGTTTGTGCAGCATGATTGAACCAAGTCAGCCCTCCTCTAGCCCTCTAGGGCTTGACCTTGTATTTGCATTTTCACAAGAAAGAGATCCGCCTCATGAGTTGTCGTTGTTGATGCTGTTGTTGAGTCTTGGTAAGACAACGGCGGCGTGATATCGACCATCTCTCATAATGCTAATGCTCTCTCCCTCCCCTCCCGTTCCTGCTGGCTGTTGCACAACCCCCGTTGGTCGATCGGTGCGAAAACCGCCAAATATCTCTTCCCCACGGCGAAAAAACACGCCACGCCACCGTCGACCTTCATTCAATAGCGCTGCGACAATATCTTCTTCGGCCGCCCCGGCACAATGCGCGGACAGCACCGCTTCAGACTGCAACGTGAACAGGTGGCAGATCGCGCCGTTGGATGCCGACTCGACGCTTCCCACCTACTGGGTGTACGATGAAGCGCTTCACCCCTCGACTATCAACGAGGTTTGGCTAAGGTGCGCCCGTCGCCGCCGCCGCCGCCGCCGCCGCCGCCGCTTCATGTCTTGATCTTGGTCTTTGCGCGCGGCGAAACATAAACGTAACACGCTTGCGTGTATGCGGTCTCTGTCTCTCTCCTCTCTCGCTTGCTTCTCGCTGCCTGTCAACGCGACCAAGAAGGACGAGCTCAGGCACCATCCATCGCTTTGCACCCTTTTTGGCCTTTCCATCAACTTCCGTTCGAAAACCAATGGTAACTCTTGCGGCAGCTCAAAAGCGCTTGGGTGGCACAATGATGGTGTCTTGGTGCTTTAGCCTGAGTGCTCCCTACTACCATACCATGCAGAGTAACGCCCCTCTCTCCACACACCAGAACTCGCTCGTATCCGGTACCGTTGACACTCGGATTAGAGGACAACCGAGATGCCACACCTCGCATCGGGGAAAAATACTCGACGCAGAACACACGTAAGGCTTTGTTTTCCTCGGCTGAGAATCCCGTGTCGTCTTGTCCAGGCGCGTTCCACACGCCACATGTCGACGCTGCCACGTCACTCAAAAACACAACAACGCCCGTACACACGCAGGCTTGACAACTGCGGTACCGGCGGGTGCCAGAGCAGTCCCGCAGAGCTCACCATCCTGTGCGGCGACGGCACGACGGCGTCTGGGTCGGGGACCCCGGCGCCGGCGTCGGTTACCGCCTCCGATTGCGGGGTAATCGAGGTCGCGGGGACCTCGGGGGCGGAGAGCGACGGGTTCTACTACGACGACGGCAGCGAACTAGGGGATGACGTTACGCAGTACGGGGGCTACGACGTCGTCAATGGGGAGCTGATGAGGTGTGTGTTTTTTTGTTGTGAGCACGACCGCGCTAGTATTTTAGGCTGACCAATGAAAAAGACCTCAGTGGCGACAGCCCCCCCGTCCGCCTCACATCCGCACTTTCTGGCCTGGTTTGATGCGACGATTCACCCCCCTCCCCCCGCCCGCGCGCTGGTGTGAGAGTTTGATCCGTTGAGAACCCGGCGCGCTCCGTCCCGGCTTTGTAGGGATGCGAGGCTAATGGTCTCATGAGTACGGCATGCACGACGATGAGTACACCCCCCCCCCCCCCCCCCCCCCCCCCCCCCCCCCCCCCCCCCCCCCCC